CTACTGTTGAAAGGTGCTACTTAAATACAGAAAACTCTAGAAATTAGTAAATGCGTTGGTCTTTTGACCTATTTAGTTACTCCCTCCGTTTTTATTTAGTCTGCATATTAAATTTGACTAAAATCAAACTTTGCAAAGTTTGACCAAGTTTATAGAAAATAATATAAACATTTAGCATAAGAAATCTATATGATGTGAAAGTACATTCAATAATGAATGTAATGATATTGATTTGTTATTGTATATGTTAATATTTTTTCTCTAAACTTTATCAAAGTTTACAAAGCTTGACTTTGATCAAAGTTAATACGCGGAGTAAATAAAAACGGAGTATGTATTACTCACACACAGAGGGATAGAGTAATAAGAAAAATAAGAGGTCCTTGCTCGCCCAGTTTCGTCCAATATTTAGTAAATTCGTCTAGGATCAAATCAAATTAGAGCGAGCAATTCATCTACAATTCCGAGAAGAACAAAGGGGATCCATCAACAGAAGTTCAGACTCACTATGATGTGTATAATGTATAAACACACCGCCAGCTATCACGTGATGAAATTCAATATTCCTACTATAAAAAGTTTTTATCGAGCACGGCCATGATAGGAAGATGCCACCAACATCCGCGGGCAAGCGGTGGTGCTGAGTCTACCGTAGAGGGCAGGTTCGGTCATGGAGTGGCTATCACTCCAGATGGCATGCCACTAGCCACACAGACAATCATCCGTGCTGCCCTGGACAATAAGGATTTAACCAGCAAGGCTCTGCGATGGTTAGTAGAACACTTCCTCCAATGATCCAACTGGCAGTTGCGCCGCAAGGTGAGTGGTGGATGGGCATGTAACTTTTTTCCCGTCGCAACGCACGGGCATTTTTGCTAGTCTCTAATAAAGCAGCGATTGCTTCTGGTCGTACGTCATCGGCACTTTTACAAAAAAGTCCCTCGGTTTCTAAGAATTTAAGCCGCAGTCCTATTTTAAGTGTTTTCTGAAGATAACGTTTCATTTTTGCAAACAAAACCCTGCATTAGTTACAATTCCATCTGTGCTCCTTAATCCTTATCCATTGCCATCCTCCACCTCCCGGCACGTGCTGCCGCTTGCCGCCGGCGTCCACGCGGCAGAACCCAAGAAAGTGGTGATGCGTCGCGGCGGGCGTCCGCACCGCCCGAGCCCAGGAACGGGGTGAGGCGTCGCGGCGGGCGTTGGAGAGCACAGAGGACAGGAAGTCGCTAAACATGGCCTTGGCCGGCACAGGGACGAGCTCGCGGGCGCGCTTGAGGCAGGCGAGCCTAGCCCGCAAGTCCTCCTGCTGCTTGGCGATGCCCTTGGCCTTCCTGCGGGCCTTGTCGTCCTCGGCGCTGGCCTTGGCGGGCCGAGGCGCCGCGGTGCAGGCGGCCGCCGTGCTCTCTTGGGGCAAGGCGCGCGCCACGCGAGGGCGGTGCGACGAAGGAAACAAAAAGAGAGACAATAGAAATCAGGGATCTTAAAACCTTGCCGGCCCACGCTCACCAAAGACCTGCAGAACCTTCACTCGAGCAGGGCAGAGAGATGGCGAACGACGGCTTCGCGGCTGAGCTGGGCTGAGGCAGCTGCGTGGCCCACGCGGTGGACGAACTGGCGCTCCTCTCCGTCGTCCTCCCGACGGCAGGTGAGGCAGGAAGGCGGCGGATTCGGATATCACGGCGCAACCTCCTTACTACTCCAGCTCGCGCGTGGCGGTGTGCATCACGGCCTGAGATGGAGACCCGGATGCTGGCCGGGAGGGAAGGCGCAACAGTCGGAGAGCGTGGCCGACGAGCTGCAGCTGGAGGCACTCGGCTTGGAGGCGCGGTCAAGCTGGGGAGGGGAGAGAGCCCAGCGAGCGGGGAGGCGGAGCACGCTTGCGGGTGTAGAGACTAGAGAGAGGGGGCGCCGGGGAAGGGAGAGCTGGCCGACGGCGACGGGGTTCTTGCAAGCGAGAGGAGAGAGGAGAAGGGAATCGATGGAGGCAAACGGGGTCTTGGCCACAGGTTGGAGAGGAGCGGCGTGGGGCTTATCCCCTCGCATGCGTGTGTGGCCTGGGGCTTATCCCCTCGCGTGCGTGTGTGTGGCTGTGGTTGAGCCAGGTTGGGCCTTGGCTAGGCTGGGGTTTTATTTTATTTTGATCTGGATGCAGCTGAGACCAGCGGTGGGCAAAGTCAGGTGTCCATCAGCCAACAAAAATTCTGACTGATCAGCCACCAGCACTACTCTATGTCTCCGCCTCACATTTTTTTCATTGCACCACCATGTGAAATCTCTCTGAATCTTGTCATTCTGTGTATGTGTGTGGATTTTTTTTGAGTGAACTAACCAGCTAACCACACTGCTTGGTAATATAAAAGAAAAAAGGTTGAGCTAGCACATGCATTCACATCATCATTGCTCAATCCATACAAACTTCTTTTATCTCAACCCATACAAACTTAATCTGCTATTGGGCAATAGAATTAAAAACAAACTCTAAAACAATAGATTAAATAAAAACAAAACTGTAATGAAGTCTAAAAGAGCCCAAGCCCCTTCTACAGCCTATTATAACATGACGCCAACCAAACCCCACCACCGCAATGGCAAGCACATGGCGACAGAAGTCGTCGTTCACGTCATTCAAGCGACACACCAAAGAGCGCAATGCCGCCTTCCACATGCCATTGCACCTATTGTAATTGGATGATGCGTCAGTCGTCATACAAGCTCTCAAGCCCGTCGACGGATGCTCCTCCCGTGGCGACTGGTCACGACAGATCGGGTAAGGTCGAGGGAGACGCGGTTGCTCGATGGGACGTAGACGCCGACCGAGGAAATGCCTTCGATGGATGAGATGTTTGAGGCCATTTGATCCGGGACGTCAACATCCATGTGGTCCCTACCTTTGATGGTGAGCCATCTAGCTTGATTCACATAAATTTATCACATGCACCATCAGCTTAGGTGGGAACAAGGGTAAGCAACAAGGACAGTCTTGAGCAATGCTTATTGGGGCTCATGATAATTTTTCTTCTCCCGTTGAAACGCACGGGCATGTTTGCTAGTTCAGAATAAAACACAGCACACCGCAGAAGTTAAGAAAAAAAAAGGCTCCATTGCCGGGATTTGAACCCGGGTCGCCTAGGTGAAAGCCAGGTATCCTAACCGGGCTGGACGACAATGGATTAGTGATTAAATTTGGCAGGTATATGATTTGGTCACCATTCCATACTCGGGATCTTGCCTACATCACTGGGAATTAGATTTTTTTTTTGTAAAAAAGGAAAAAAAAAGGAGAGAAAGAGAGAGAGAGAGAGAGCAACTGGGACTAAGGATGGCAATTTTACCCATGGGTACGGATACCCGCGGGTACCGTACCCGTATGGGCAGGGTATGGGCACACTTTTATACCCATGGATAGTACCCATACCCTACCCGTTAAGTCATGGGTAGGGTACGGGTATAATCTTGTACCCGTGGGTATACCCATACCCTGCCCGCTTGTGAAATAATGTTAAGTTGTCATCAATTAATTATTAATTTTTCATGTAACTTTTCTACTTCTATTGACTTATGAGTATGTTGTACCCATCTATTTGTTATTGAGCTAAGATAATTGTTTTTTGTCAAATTTTCTATCAATGAGTGTAAAAATGTGAACAACTCGTGTGCTATTTGTTCTACCTGCTGGGTACCCCATGGGTACGGGTACCCGTCGGGTATGGGTATGGGTAATGTTTCATACCCATGGGTACGGGTATGGGTAGAATTTTATACCCACTGACTATACGGGTATGGGTATGGTATTGCTCTACCCTGCTCATACCCTACCCATTGCCATCCTTAACTGGGACAATGCTTAGGCATCATAATGGTACATTTTTGGCAGCTAAGTGCTCTTATCTAACCTATGCGGCCGATGCTACTACTGCTGAAGCACTTGTTATATGTAAGATGGGTAAATATTGCAGTTTCATCAAGCCCCAAAAAGATGTACGTCTTTTCCCTCACAAAGTTGCACGTCTTCACCTTTTGCCAACCTTTTGCTTATTTGCTGGCATTGGTTTTTCGTTATTTGACTTTTTTTTTTGAATTTTCAGGGGGTAGGGGGTTATTTCACCCCAACCGCGCGCCAGAAGCCGACGGCGAAAGGACATGCAAAGAGCAGGTGATCACTCATCAGCAGTCTCCGCAGGCACGGTGCAAAGAGGGCACCCTGCGCCTCCTGCTTCGTTGATGCCCTTCCGGGTTAGGACATCCCGTGTATGGATATATATGCCGTTGTACCAAGAGCCAGCAGAAGAACTTCACACGCGAGGGGGCGCGCGATCCCCAAACAAGGGTCGCGAACGGCGCACGAACGCCGCCAAATCAAGCCAGCGAACGGTGCACGAACACCGCCAAATCAAGCCAGTTTGTATACACGGCGCCGGCCGACACCCTGCCTTTGTTGAATGTTGTTGGAGACACGGCGGAGCCGCCGCTCGTCAGCACGAACGCCGCCTTCGAATTGGATCAGCCTCCAGGTGGGTGGAGAGGTTCACAAGCTCCCTCGCCCCAGCGCTCGTCAGGCGAGGCAGTACGGTAGTATCTGATATAGGGTAAAAGGTGCGGATCTTTGAGCAGATCAGATGGCAATTTCTTGATCAGAGCTATCTATATAATCGACACGAATACTACTCCCTCCGTCCCATAATATAAGAACGTTTTGACACTAGTCTAGTGTCAAAAATGTTCTTATATTATGGGACGGAGGGAGTATAAATTAAAGCTACAGAGGAGCTCCCTAATACCAAAGCAGTTTGCTAGTCTGAATGGGCTGCCTGAGTGAACATCGAGATATATGCAGAAACTATTAAACTCGGCGAACGGCTTGCAAAGTAAATACTGTTAACTTGCACACCGATTTACTGATACCATAAAAGGTTTTGTATATATATATATATATATACTAGCTCTCCTCTTCTTGTGCAGCCACAGGACGAAGAAAACCAACAAAACATATCCCTCTACTAAGGCTGCGATCTATTGGTGGACGCGGCACACGGCGCGCGGCGGGTGAGTGAGCTTCGTAGAAGACCCGCAAGCCTGAGATAGGATAGATCGATGGGAACTGACGAGCTTCCACCGACGTTACTGCATCAATCAACAGCCATGGTCATACAAACATGCAATGGTAATACTCCCATCGGACACTTTGCTTTACTTTCTAATAAAGGAAACCAGTCGTTGCCGAAGAAACTCCTGAGCCGTTTCAAGTCTTCAACTGATTCCCCTGCAACACCCAAATAGTCACCTGGCTTTCGTGCTCTGAGACGTCTTCAAGGACTTCATAGCTTCCCTAAATATTGGAAGGAGAAGTATCAGATACTATTTTGGAATGGCATGGTTATGTCTGGCACTTGCAATTCTTTAGGCGCCATTGCACGACAGTATATGCATGCCTCTTCCTAAATATCAGCAAAGTACTACTCAAGGGCAGATTACAGAGTTACTACTATACGTCAGGGTAGGTTGGTGCATTGGCATTGATAACAGTACAAAGTGGCACTCCGAAATCCTAACAAACACAAGATAGAACGGAGTCAAGTTCTTGACAGTCTCATGACAAGGGCACATGCATGTACTTGCAGCATAGGTAACTAATACTGTGCTTGAGATGTGCTGAAACATGGCCAACCAGCTACCAATGCAAGGTCATCACCAAAAGGCATTAGTGTAACCAAAGAGGCAGATGGGTTTACCGTAATGCATCCTCGATGTCAGTGTCCACTGGGTCCAATTTGAGTCCATCCAAGAACCGTTCACTTGCGCCCTCATAGTCCTGACGATAAAACACAAAAAGTGAACGATCATAAACAATTTGCAATACCAAGAGAAAAACAGCCAGCCATATCCTCTATGTAACCTTCAGTAGCATCAGAGCTTCACCCTGCCGGCGACAAGCTTTTGGCCAGTGAGGTCGCATTTTTCTGCATTTATTAGCATCTAGCAAAGCCTTTCTTCCATCGCCCATGTGAAGCCAACAAAGGCTCCTGTCTGAGAACAAGACTGCATCATCAGGATCAAGCTGCATTGCCTACATCACACAAGACAAATCAACAGTTCAGCTTACTAAGTTTCTTTTAACTCACATTGAATTAGTTAACTGGATAAAAAACAGTTAGGAAGCTGTCAACACTCAAACAAGAAATCTACACATTTTTTATTCATACTAGCCTACATAAAATACAAATTAGCAAGTCTACAAAAGCCAGCCTAACATACATTTACTAAATATATAGCACAGTGTTAAAGTACACTCATTTATTATTCTAGTCCTAACAAGAAATCTGCACATAGCTGCGGAGTAACTTTTGAACTAAATAACTTACATTAAAAAGCTTGCTTTTCCATTATCCCACTCGTTCATTATAGTCATCCCCATGTTTTTTTTCTGACTGTGAGGCAAAGGCCACTCCCTCCCCGGTCTTTATAAATTGGTATAAAATAATAAAATAGGTCCTCCCTGTGTTAGCGCAAGCAAGGAAGCAACTCCAAAACAAAAAATATTGTTGTCTGTCAAAAAAGTGGTCAAGACACAGAATCCCAATCACATCCTCAAACATATTGCATTACTCATCAAGGTGACACTATTTTTTCCTGTTTATACCTGAGCAGAAGTACCAAGAATATCTCATGGTCCATATCCATTATCACAGAATGAGTACTTTGCACCACGAAATTGAGAGGATACATGCCAAAGCAACAAAAAGAAAGACACAGCATACTGTCAGCTGAACCCTATTCTGAACAAATCCTAAGTTATTAGAAATAACAAAGCCAGCTAGAGTCCACGCCCTGGACCATTTCAGTAGGAACCTTCCCATGACTCAAAGTTTCTGATAAACGACACCCAGCTCCATGTGGAGCTCCAGGTATTCTGGTATATTCTTGCCCAAAAGTATTACTTCGGACTATGCATTCAGCAACTAATGCAAAACAAGGATAAAATTCTTTTGAAATCATATATGGAGTTTTGAACCTTAAATATTTTCAGACACAGCTATGCAAGAAACTATAAATTATAATGCATGCAACGTAAACTGAAATGCTGGAAAGCTAAACAAAGCAAGAAATATATGGTGCTTTAATATACCCGACTGTACAATTTTGCTGCGACAGCATAATCTTTTTTCTTTAAAGAGATATTCCCTAGTGATATAAGCTCTGATGCCACGATTTCCCGTTTAAGCATGGGCTCCTCCTGAACCTACAGAACATCAATTAAATCAATTCTATGCAGGATACATGTGATACATTATATCTGACTAAACAACCTTAATGTTTGCTGTAAATATATGGAGGAAAAAGGATTTGATTACATAAGCGTATCTTTTCTCAAATTTCTATGACTGCACAAGCATAATATTTTGAGTACTCGTGATAATCTCCTAACATCCATGCTCAGTATTGTAAGTACAAAAATTACCGCCAAAATTGTCATAAACTGGTACAATGTTTAGGTAACTATTAATATCAACATGGCACATATGCAGATGTCCTCCCCAGCCGCAATGCTCCACAAGTTTTTTCAGAAAAAAATGGTTACGAAAGTGTCCAGTACAAGGGGTCACAAATTGCAGCATGCCACAGCTGCAGCCAGTATGAAAAACAAATGCCAGAAAAGGAAGTACAGAAACAAATTCAGTATGGAAAATAAAAAAAGAAAATGGGTACCCAACAAAATTAAATTCATGGACTTGACAAAGCTCAGATGAATGTACAACACCTTAACTAGGAGCTTGATACATTCTGTTGAGTTAGCATCTCTAGCAGCCATAAGAGGTGTCACACCATTTACCATCTTGTTGTACTGGAGAAATATTAAGATATCAGCTCCAATGGTCAATACATAGAACTAAACTGATGAGGCAAGCCTTCAGCAAAGAAAATTGATTCAGTACACACACAGTAAAATCAGTGAGAAGGTTATTTTTATCAAGATAATGCCACGATTACCACCGCATAGCATTTTTTATGATTGTTTACATGGAACCTGCAAGCAGAATTGCATGGTATACTGCCTTTCCGCTCATATCAATCTGATGTGAATTATACAGAGACAGTATTAATGGAGCATAAGCCATTCTAGTTTACAGATCCAGACTGTTTTGTTTCAAGAAAGATTCGATCTTTTAATCATCACCGGCCAGTCATTAGAATCTCAAACCCCAACAAAAGCAATGCAGCCATCAAGAAGACAAGTTACTAAAACCTGAATATGGAACCACAACTAGAAAACGAAGAAGATGATGCATGACGCCAGCATTGAGAACGATTTGGGAGGCAACAGCGCCCTCACACGGTCACACCCACAGCTTATATGGGAAGATGGATGAGCCGGCAGGGAAAGATTATGTGAGGGATAGCCACGCAGAAGAATTTGCAGATGCAGGTAGAATTGGGTGCGTGAAAAGATATTTTCAGAGGGGGCGTACCGAAGCAAGCCTCTTCAGTGAAAATTAAACAGCTCCCATGGCATTAACAAAATACACAAGTCAAGACAGTGAATATGTTGTGGAACCTTATAGCTTACTACTCCCTCCGTAAACTAATATAAGAGCGTTTAGAATACTAAAATAGTGATCTAAACGCTCTTATATTAGTTTACAGAGGGGGTACCATATTGGTCAAGTAAACTTCATAAAATTCCAGGTAGCACTCAAAAACAAATGGTGATACATGATAGAGACTAATCTACTATGGCCAATATGTAAAAAGAAAGTAATCATATTAAGTGGTTTTATGCATGGAAATTAGCATTGAAGGGACCAAAAATGAGAAGATGTGCAGTATTATGTGCCCGCATTCCAAAAATAGAATTATATTCGGATGCACTATACATTTGATAGTATAGTGCTATCAATTTGAAAGGGAAGTGGATGAAGCATACTTATTACCAGGACACTATGATGAGATGTAGCATTACAACTACTACACAACTAGGGGCATGCAGAAGAGAAGAAAAATGCACCGAGGATTTCAAGAGTTCAACTATGCAGCACAAACACCATAGCAGCATCAAGCAACCATACACAATCACTTAAATAGAACATGACAAGACAGACAAGGGAAAAAATTGCAAAACACAAGTAATTAAAGTTCAAAACATATAGGGTAACTTGAGGCAGAAACGGTATGTACTTAAACTTACATCTGCATTGTGGTCCAATAAAATCTTCACAGCACCATATTGCCCTTCACCAGCAGCACCATGAAGTGGTGTTCCATGAGGAGCTACCGGGTCAACATAAGCTCCTTTTGCAAGCAAAAGCTCTAGCATTTCACAATTGCCTAGGAGAAAACACGGAACTTATTACAAAGGGGAGAGGTGTTTTCTGGCAATACAACAACAACAACAACAACAACAACAACAATAACAACAAAGCATTTAGTCCCAAACAAGTTGGGGTAGGCTAGAGCTGAAACCCATAAGATCTCGCAACCAACTCATGGTTCTGGCCCATGGATAGCTAGCTTCCACGCACCCCTGTCCATGGCTAGTTCTTTGGTGATATTCCAGTCCTTACAGATCTCTCTGGTTTTCTGGCAATCTCTACTAAAAAGAATCCATGAGCTTATAAGGTATGATGGTAGGGTTTTTTGTGACAATTTCTTTTGTTTCTGGTTTATCCTGGACCTGTGTTTGCCTTGATCATGTGCTACAAAAAATCCCAATGAGGACTTGTTTGGATTGGAAGGAATCAAAGCCAAAAATTTCATAGTTAAGTTTTAATATGAGTATCTAGTGATGGGGCCTAATTCCCATCAAGGGGGATATTCAGTAAGATAAGACCATGATCTACAGCATGGCTACTCGATTCATGATTCATCAGGTTCGCAGTTCACTACTTCCTACTTTCCAAAGTGGAGCATGGACCTCTCCAATTCAGTAACAGGAGATGGGTTCACAAATACAACAATTCTGGTTTTATGGATCTAGTTAGTATGCAAGGTATTTTTATCTCTGTAAGAATGTAAGATGAGAAACCAAGTAAGATGGTAGGTATTTTTGTGACTATTTCTTTTGTTTTCTGGTGTATCCTGGACCTGTGTTTGCCTTGATCATGTGCTACAAAAAAGCCCAATGAGGACTTGTTTGGATTGGAAGGAATCAAAGCCAAAATTTTCATAGTTAAGTTAACTTTTAATAGGAGTATTCAGGGATGAGGCCTAATTCCCATCAAGGGGGATATTCAATAAGATAAGACCATGATCTACAGCATGGTTACTCGCTGCCACATGCACAATACGAAAAGACCAATGCATGCAAACATGAAATCAGCAAGACTCCTTTTGTTTTGAATTTTCAAGTACTTCTATCTCTCAAATCCTGTGTCTGATTGACGATCTGTGCTCATTGTTGGCTTTGCTGTGATGATACCGTCAAAACTAGATCCCACGTAGATATGTTTCGATAACTTCTTTTCGTTACTAATTGCCAGGTTAGAGCCACTTGCTTGTCAAGTTATCGATATGTTATAGCTACTTGGTAACCAGGCTATTAAGTCAGTTACCAGATTATTGCCACTCCACACCCATGTAAGACTGGAATGATAGTGACATGTATTAGGTTATTTGACTTCCCAATTAGGTGACATTTTAGGATATTGCACATGCACAACAGCTAAGCCACTATATCCATGTTGAAGCGTTTAAAATATTAGTAATTATGCTACACAAAGAGCCCTGGTTTGATGCAATACATGCATGCACACGGTAGACCTTCGGCTAATGGCTAAAAATAAATATATCAATGACTTTGACTAGAAGCGTGTGCAGGATTATTATTTAGTACAGCTAAGAGTATATCAGGAAATACCACCAAACATCTACTTGGAAACATAATATGCCGCGCATTCTCAAACAGCCTAATGAGTCTAAAACAACATGTACATCAGAACAGAGAGACATATTACAAGAACTTAACCATCGGGTTTGAAGATAATTTATTAGCACAGAACAATATTAGTAAACTAATATATGAAACAAATGCAAATAGCTCCGAATAAGATAACACAAAACAATTTGTAATGCAGAGATGCAGAACAGAGATATGTGTTTATAGAGGTGGACCTGATTCAGCAGCATAGTGTAGCAGGGAAACCCCATCATTATTGGCTTTGTCTTGATCAGCACCATGATCAAGAAGATACTCGGCAGTACCCCCATTGTGGTATGTTGCAAACAACAGAGGTGTTCTACCTATAAAACAGATATACACACAAAAATGAAATTATATCAAAGCACTAGCAAGAAATGAGATCTTTTTTTGTATCAAAACATGCCTTATCTCCAAAAGCATACCACCACAGAAGTTTCCTAACACTGCTCTGTCTTCTCTGAGAGCATATAGTTTAGGTATGGCTCTCCAAGACACACAAAGCAGACCCATCGAATTAAATATGATATGAAGCAGGATTTTCATAATGCTCGAGAGAGTATTGGTTGAATGGAACTGACACGTGAAAATTAGACATTAGACTACCCGAATAGAAGAATCAAATGCATCCTTGGAGTTGGAGTGCATACATATGCGCAATAACTAAACAACCAAACTATCCTAAAATAAAAAACTAATTTGCCCTCAAAGAGTAGCCTATTTAATTATTTATATGAACGGCGCTTATGTAGGGTACTCACATTCGGTGTCATAATCAAGCCCGATTTATTTCTTCCCTTAAAAAGACTGACTTATTTCATATAAAGCTGCATGATCATGAGTTAGCACAACAGAGTACGTATGATAAATCATAATTTTATTTTGTGAGATAAACATTGGTGCTTATGACACATTGGTTCATACTGACGTAGATAATCTTAGGCTCTGTTTATGGTTGCTGGACTGTGTTGTGCTGAGCTTGGAGCCGCGGCAAAAGCTGGTTGAAAAAGCTGGATTATCATAATGCACCAGACCACTATGCCAAGCTCAGAGAAAGCACAAAACAGTCAGATATCGTGAGACCTAACCTACAGATCAAGCAACCCTTTGTGAACAATAAATCCAGCATGTAAAATAGCACTTGATACAATTTGACAAAACCTACACTGAATGTGTGCGCGGGGTCCTAAACCGACAGATTAGGGTTCTGAAGATAGATGGACCTTCCTTGTCGACCAGATCCACATCTATGAGCAGCTCCTCGACGAGGTACCTGCACACCCGCAGGCTCCCTCTGATGGCGGCGATGTGCAGCGCGCTGAAACCTTGGAGCTTCCCGGCCTCCTCCCCCTCAACGCCTCAATCGCCTCCTTGGGGCGGCCCCTGCCCATGTCCAGCACCATGACCAGCGCTGCAACGGATTGGGGCCTCCAAAATGTTAGCACCGAAACCGGATGAGGGCCGGAATCTGGGGCGGGGGAGGGGAGGGGGCGGCGCACCCTTGAAGAGGGGGAGGTTGTCGTCGGAGGCCGCCTGGAAAACCATGTTCAGCACCGGGTCACGGACTGGGGCGGGAGGGGGCAGGG